AAGAGCAGACAAGGGTTAATACTCTGTTCTTTCTAAAAAGAGGCCTGCAGAGTACAGTTAAAATAAAACAAAAAAGGATTTTCTAGCATAAGGAATATGTCCATGTTTTATATCACTGTGCACTATTTCTCTTCCAAATTTCATCTCCTGAATAACTGGCTCCAATCTCTAGTGGAAAGAAGACATAAATAAAGCAGAATGGCTAATGGACTAAAAACACTTATGATCAGGTTTTCATAACTAACGTTATTGATAGCTTCCTTTGAACACACACTTCCATACCCTACAATTTTCTTTTCTACAGCAAGATTTAGAACCCTATTTGCAATAAAAAGGCTAACATGGGGAAATGAAAAAGGAGAGAATCCATTACGTAGCTATATGGCATGGATTTATTCAGAGAATACAAAGGAATACCCACTTCTGAAGACCAAATGCAAAACAGCCTTTCCAAGATTCTATCAAGTTCTCCCACAAATCTTTTATAATTAGTTTGAGAAGGGTCTGGATATTTTCTTATATTTGTCACAATCCTAAAATAAGAGATAATACTTTTCTGGTTTCTTTGGGGAATGATGTCATAAAATCTATGCTATGTTATCTTTGTCTGTTTCTCAGGCTTTCTAGGGACTTGTGTTCTGCTGTATATAAAGCAAAACAATGTGATGTTGAAAGTGAATAATTTGAATTAATATTTGCAGAATGTTTGCATTTGAAAGAGTTTTGTAAAAAATAGTTAACTAATTGGTATAGTGCCTGTCCACTGGAACAACATCCCCTCGGAGATTTATTTGGCTCCTACTGTAATCTTTGGCTGATGATGATGATCTGTAATTTGGACCTTCCTGAGCAGGAAATGTTATCATCTGTGGCAGCCCTTCAGATATTTGAAGATGGCAATCTGTATGTTTGGAAGGTTGTCAAATGCACACTTCAAATGGGTTGCCTCTTCCAAAAGTGAAACATTCACTCTATTGCCTTTGCCATGTCCTATAGTCTTCTACGCATTTAAGAGGGGCTTCTTTCTGAAGTCACTAGGTAAGAGTGCAACATAAAAAGGGTTTTTAAAATGGTTTTGCTTGACATCAATAATAACATCTTCGGCAGGAAAAACATTTCACTTTCTCTGATAAACTTTTCAGTATATTTTGAACTAGTATATTTTTATTCTTTTTTATTGTTAGATTGTTTGCCTTGTACTGGTATCTCTAATCAGCTCTTGAGGAAGCAATGTTGATACAAACATAATGAGAACATAAGAAGAGTCCTGCTCTATCAGACCACAAGTCCATTTAGTCCAGCATATTGTGTCCCAACAGTGGCCAATCAGATGCATTCAGTAAGCTCACAAAATGGACAGGACATTGATAGGGTCTTTTACTGTTACAATTGAATGTATCTCTCTTGTAATTCCAGAAGTAGCTAACAGCCATCAAGTCAAGTATCCACTAACAGCGTGATCCTCTTTGAATGCTTTAGGCCCCCTTTTAAACCATCTAAATGCATGGCCATCTCCACATCTGATCGCTGTAAATAATTTGTGTAATAAAAAGTCCTTGTTTTGGTCCTGAATCTCCCTGTAGATCTAACATTGTGAGAAGGGGAGAAAAATTATCTTTCCTCATTTTCATATCATACCTATTTTAAATACAGGATTGGTCAACCCTCCAGCCAACATGTAGCTTTTACCCCGAAATTTGGGTGTTAGGGGATGAGAGCAACTGGTCTCCCAAAAGCCTCTTGCTCCCACTCCTGTTCTTTCTCAAACCCAATCAAATGGTGAAAAAAGCTGAAAAAGTCAGAAGTTGGACCCTTCTGGTGATAATACAGAGTCACCAGATTGCTTTCTGCAGCTTCCCAGAAAGTTCTGGTGCTAAGTTGTAGTCCTTGTCCCTCAAATATTGCAAATCCATTTAAATCTTTTTCATGTCTCCCCTAACTCTCCTTTGCTCCACTTTTCTGTATTTTCTGTTGATTTTATTACTTACAGTTAAATAATACATTTAGATTTGACATTCCCCCTACTCACCCTATGTTAGCCATTCCTGGGATAGATCCAGAGTGCTGGATCTGAAATCTCTCTTATTTGTATAGAAAATTTTGTAACTTTGCCACATTTTTCAATAAGGCAAAACATTCAGTTCAGCCCTGCTTTGGGACAAAATGCTATTTCTTATTATCTGTTTACTGATTCTGGTTTACTATGACTTTACATAAGCAACACAGAGGCTCTTTTATTCCTGCCAGTATATTTATGACTTAAGAAATAAGTTAATTAAATATCAGTTTGTAAATCTTTGTATTCTGATGCTACTGAAGTAAATGTTTTATTTGTTATCTTATTGATTTTCTGAGTGAGTTGCAAACAGGGTATAATGTCAATATCTCATTTTTTCTTATGTAATGAATTATTTTAAACTGAACTGAGCATCACATGGCGCTAGATGTGTTCTTGACAGAATACAATGAATTTGTATGGAGATGAACATATCTCAGTAATATAGAAATTGTACTTTTGTTTTTGCAATATATATAATATTTACAACATATGTGGTCCAACAGACATCTAAAATGCATGCACCATATAACTCTGTAACTGCGTGTGACAGCATCCCCTTTGTATAAGACCAAAGGTTTATTAACTACGTTGCTTGGGGATTAAAAGTTATTTTAAAATGTTCTATGAATTCTTATCAATGTTTCTAAAATCCACAAACCACAGAATAGATCCCAACACCCATCAACTCAATCAGCATGGGCAATCAACAGGGATAATAGGAAAAATAATCCAACAATATCTGAAAGGCCACAAGTTTTCCAGTCTTGTCATATTTCATGTCAATGGGTGATTATGGCATTTTGGCAAAGATTAGCAATGGGCAAAGTTATACATGTAGAACTTCAAGGGGAACAATAACTGTCCTCATTCATGGTGGGGTCACAGAATAGTTTCTGATCTTGCCTCTGAAAAGGCTTGAGCTTATTGTTCTGTTCATTATATTCTCTCACTTTCCTGCCTAGATCTGAAGGTCACCTGCATGATTGTTTCTCCATCACACTACATCCTCATAACCATCTTATGAGGTAGTCTGTGCTGAAGTACTTATATACTCCAGTTCATTGTGGCTAAGTAGGAATTTGAATGTGAGGGTCTCCCCTCCTAGTCTAACTAGTACTTCAAGAGTGGGCAACCTGTGGCCCTAGGATATGGCCTTCAGCCTAATTTCAGAAGTCTTCTGTAAATCATCAGTTCCAACTTTTGACAGCATCCACTTGTCTTTCCCATGGCAACCATTGAAAAGGGGTGACCCTGCTTATCATACCATCAGCCCTAAACAGATTATGAAGTTCTTGAAAGAAAAAAAATACTATACTATAAAGATTTCCATGCTAGGCTTTGTGTGTGTGTGTGTGTGTGTGTGTTTCCTTTCCATGATTTTACAAACTGGAGAAGCTCAATAAATATTCAATTCCTGCTGGCATCTTCATTAGTGTAATATTTTTTCCTCCAAATTGCTGAATAATATATTTGGAGTTCCAACAGTTACATTATTTACAGTTCAAACATTTGAATGCTGAGTCAGTTTTAAAATTAAGAGTCGTACACATAATTGAAAAGGTTTATTTTTAGAATGTGTGGGTTAAATTTTATTCAATCTTAAAAAAACATATCTTATATTGCTACATCAGACCCTAATCTGGAATTCCCTTCTGACTGTAAGGATGGAAGTGAAGAACAATGATTTGGTAGAGATACTGTATGAAGCCTAGGAAGGCATGCTATTTTCTGTAATGAGAAAATCACCCATTCAGTAACAAGATATTAGAAATATGGCAAATCCATCTGTTGATTCAGTTACCTTAACATCTACTTTTATCATGTCTCCACCAACTTGAAAAAGTTAACAAGTTATATCAGCTTTGGCTGATTCCATTAGGTAAATCCTTTTCTGGAGAAGATGGATTTGACTAGAGTTCTCTTAATATCTGCAAGTAACCAACACATCGCCTATATTTTGGTTACTTGCAGATGCTGTGCTACCCTAGCGGGTAGGGCTATTTTCTGTTTCGAAGTCAGTTTGAAAAAATATGCTCCAAAATGCACAGGAATGCAACAAAGCACATATCTGCAGCTCTTTAAAGCAATTATGTCTTTCTCCAGGATCATGTGGCATCAACGCTAAAGCTGAGAAGTCTAGAAGATATCCCTAATTTGAAACATATAATTCCAATACTTACTTGCCTCTGGTCTCATTTTAACAGCAACAGTGGTAAAAATGCAAAGCCTAGCTAGTGGCAGTGTCTAGTTCACTTTAGCTCATTTTGGCTGATCTTGAAAGCTAAGCAAAGTTTTCCTGAAGTTCTGGGGGGTCAAGGGAGTCTTTTTCCCCTCTTAAGCCTCAGTTCAAAATGTTGGGTTTAGCCTTGGGCGCCATCCAAGGGAGTTGTCCTACATTAAGATGATTAGAGAGCGTGGCAGCTCCTGGATGAGCTCAGGAGAAAGACCCTTCTCTGTGCTGATGCCCCGGCTCTGGATCCTACTCCAGATTCTTCAGGATATTAATACTGATCATCTCTGATTCAACCATTCCTTTGCCGATATGAACTCGTACGTACAGCGACAACCTTATCTGTAATATCCACTACCTCTATGCAGCGCTGTTAAAGAACTTCCCGCAGTCATAGAGATCGGGAAAAGGAGAAGCGCTGCGAAAAGCCTTCACGTCCGGTTCCTGATCACGGTGAAGTAGCCGTCTCGCTCCCGTGTTTGCAAGATACCTCTATCCAGGCGTCCCGCCGGAGATGCTGCCGTACTATTTAGCCTGCATCAGCTCTCCTAAAGTAAGTCTAGGGCTATGCTTGCTTCTTGGATTAATCGCGTGGTGGTAGAGACACTTGTTATTTTTTTCCTCCTGCTCGCTTGAGGTCGTTGTTTCTATCCGGAACGTTTGTAGCGACCACGTGTTTTTCCCGGACCACTTAAGGGAAGAGGCTCTGGGTTGGGAAAGATGGCGAATGCTATCGGGGTTTCACGTGGGGAGGCAGATTCCGCCGCCCCGGTAACGGCAGAACGTGATATCCTTGTCGACTCACGGAGGGACTTGCTCTGTTTAAGCTGGTTAACGGGCTAAGTCTGGGGCCCCTGAGGAGTAACGGAGGGTAAAAAACAATCAACCTCTTTCTTTGAACGTATGAAGGTTGGCTTGGGAGGAAATTGTGTGTTTGGGGTGCTGTCTCTTAACAGCCCTCGTCTTCCATCGCATTCCACGTCCCTTGATTATTTTTGGGTCTGGCTCACCCATTCCCCCATTCCACGTCGTTCCGTGTTACTCCGTTTTCTGCTGCTGATTTCTCTGCCAATCGCTCATTACTTTACAGACACCAATATCTTGAACATTATTGCCTTTCTAAATTCTCCTGGATTTTAGGAAATGTTAACTCTCTATTCTTTATTGTTTATATAAATTCCTAGTGCTAGTTGTTATAACCGAGTTGGTCTATTATCATTTAAATTTATTATGGCCACCCACTTTGGAAGATTCTGGAGTGAACATATAACGCAGAACTATCTGATGATGTTTCACCTGCACGAATGCATCTAATTTTAGCAAAACGCTTTTTTTTTCCTTTAATGACAAAGACAGTCTAGTACAGGCAGAATAATTGAGGCGTCTCATGAGAATGTATTGTAACTCAGTGTTTTGCATATCACTAAAAATGGCACTAAAATTGTCTTGCCTGTTGTGTGTCTCTTGCAACTTAAGGGTGCAGGAAATTGAGACATCTGACATGCTGGAATTCCTATAAATCATTTTACATTTTCAGGTCAGAGATTTATTGTGATTTGCTGTTTTCCTCCAACCCCACATAATTCTGTCAGTATGCATTCATAGCACAAACCCTCTGTGGAGCTCGCAAACTACAATCCATATAGTAAAAGTTGCAGAAGGAGAAGCAATAAATAGGAAGAACTTTAATTATTTCAGATACATACATTTGTACTTCAATAACAAGTATGTAGAGGTTAGGCAATTGGTGTCTTTCGGATGTTTTAGACTCTAGATTTCAAGACTGGGTATGCTTTGAAAATGATATAGAAGAAGTTTAAAGGAAAAAGTGTTTACAAAATATTCCAGGAGGCAGGTCAAAGCGAAGGGGCAACCAGGAAAAAAGCATGGAAAGCAGGAATTCATTGAAAGACTGAGGATGTTGGAGTTGAACAAAGTTCTTTCTCTGATTTATGTTTGTGACAGAATAAGATTTTATTTTATAACTTGTTTCATATTAATGTTTTTCTTAAACCCAGGCTAGGCTATATGCATTTAGGACTAGCCTTCCTTGTCATGGCTCCCTCTGGTTATGTTGCACTACACTCCATAATTTCTAGCCAGTATGTTTGATGAATGTATTGCTTTTGATCAAGGTATTAAAAAGATAGCCTCCCAGTACTCTCCAACAGTCATTAAGATCCCCTGGGGAGGCCCTGCTCATTGTCCCATTGGGGACATGCTACAGCCAGAAGTACAGTGTTCTGAGGTATAAAATCCTAACTTTGGAACTAACTCCCAAGGGGTTTGGGACTGACTCTTGATACTGTACTGTTTTATTTCAGAAAAATGTTCACTCAGGCATTTGTAAGATAACTGCTGTTCCAGGATCAGGCAATCTTTTGAATTGTCCATGACTACTCTTTTCTGTTTTTAAAATGACCTTTGTTGTAATTTGTATGTTGTGATGGCTTTATGTAAGACTTAACTTTGTAAGCTTCTCTGGATTCTCCTGGGAGAAAGAGACATATAGAAATAAACAATGACATATAGTAGATATAATAACAGTACTACTGTATAAAGGAGAGTCCTAAATTCTCTTTATAGAGAAAGCACTGCCCAGTCATGCTTGGAAATTGCCTATACTAGAACAATTGCTTATTTGAGATGTAGTTGCTGAATTGGATTGCATAAAATCATGTTCATTTCAACCTCATTTGCTGTACAGATTCCAACGCTAGATGTCAGTGTTGTAGTTTTATTTCTTTTAAATAAACCAATGCTTCTTTCTAATGTCCTGTCATTGCCCAAAATGTTAATAATTTCAAAGTAAATTATTGAGTTATTTGTTTTCTTACAATGACTGCTGAGGATAAATTGTTTGCAGTGCACAGAAGGCATTCTAATAGTTACCCTAAAATTATGCTATGCTATACTTGATTGTGCCAGGTCTTTGAATTAATTTCTTAAATACTTGGAACAAAATAGTTTTCTGTGGTTAAGAATGTGCTATAAGTAATAAGGAATTGAGCATGCCTTTTCTTTTAGGATCTGAATGAAGCCCAGATGTTCCAGAAAATAACTTTATATTTGGTGCCCTGGAGAATTTACAGAGAAGATGGCAGTGAACATAAAACCTTGGACACCAAGTTAAAGATGCATAAAACATAGGCTGCTGCCATGGTTCCAGCACTTAATTAAAGGATTTCCAAGGGTAAGATGAACTGGAGAGGAGGGTCCAGAAAGGGAAGGAGATAGAATAATCATAGCTGTTGCATTCACCCAATACTATTGATATTAGAAACATGATGATACAGTTTGCTAAAATATAGTTCATGTATATATTTTATATATACAGTAGAGTCTCGCTTATCCGACCTTCGCTTATCCGACATTCCGACTTATCCGTCACCCCGAAAAAAAACACCACGCATAAATCGGCGACGAGAAAAGTGTGCCGCTTGTTTGCGAGCGTGAGTGTACTTTCTTGTTGCTCCTGACGGTGGCGTTGCAAAGCAAAAATCGATTGCAACAGGCGTAGCAGATCCGTTTTTTTTTTTTTTTTACCGCACTCAATTGTTACTGTGTGTTTTCTGACATTTTCGCTTATCCGACATTCCGACTTATCCGTCACCCCGAAAAAAAACACCACGCATAAATCGGCGACGAGAAAAGTGTGCCGCTTGTTTGCGAGCGTGAGTGTACTTTCTTGTTGCTCCTGACGGTGGCGTTGCAAAGCAAAAATCGATTGC